AAGTTTGTTTTTTGATTGTTTTATGTTTGAAACTTACTCCCTTTTGTAATTTTTATTGGTTAAATCTGAAACTTATTCCATTTTATTTGTAATTTTTATTGGTTAAATCTGAAACATAATTTTTTGTGGATATTTCAATTGTTTTATTTATTGCTCAGCTATAAAAATACTGCCTAGTTATAAATATATTACCCAGTTATGATTGGTGATGATCGTTGCGTTAGTTTCCGAGATCCGAGTTTTGGATGTATACATCGCAAGCTGCATTATAATAAAATATTCAACTTATATACTGAAATTAGAAGGTTGGTATTCAAAACATGTTTTTATTTAGCTTTATTCAAGTAACTTTTTTAGTAACGTAGAATGATATCTAAATTAGAGTTCTATTGCAAATATTTACTTTGACAAATTTGGGCAGTTGTAATTTTAACGTTGTTTGTGTATTATTAAACTCGGTGTATAGAGGCTTTAAGTTTTGAGATCAGTTGTTGTGTAGGAGAGAAAACAAAGTCGATTAACCAGTAGAATAAAAAAACATATTCACATAGATATTATATACAATAATTTAGTTATCTGAGTGCCACTGTCATGTAGACATAATTATAGAACATAAACCAGAAAGAATTTCAGAACGAATCAATGTAAGGAAACTAATTTATAAAGTGTGATTTTTAGCCTGGCATTATAGATTATACGATCAACTGAAAAACGAAGTGTCTGAGTACTTTCATATTTCCCACTTTATTTACCATACCTATCATTGATGCACTGCTAAAGGGGGTCATTTGTGGAGTAGTCTTTGAGTACTTTCATATTTCACTCTTTATTGTCCTACGCTATTCAAATAATTCTCTGGCTTTTCAATCATATTTGTTTCTCATCAAGAGACAGATGCGCAAAAAACACAAAAACATATGGTATTCTAGTGAGATTTGGAGGATGTTTTGTTCATATATTTTTTCTTTATGCTATAATTCGTACTCATACGTTATACGAGTTTTTTTAATGTTGTGTGGATTGTTATAAGAAGATTAATTATAATTAATGCTCTATAAAAACGAATTATTATTCTACTCACGTATGAGAACAGAAACTTTAGTAACAAAATCAATTATCCATCAGGTTGTATAGTACAAATACGGTACAGTCTCTGGTCATTTCTAGAATTAAGTAAAAAATTCAAAAACTGTTGGGCATCAGGAGCTATCTTTCCTGAAAAAAAAATTACTCTGGGTCATCAAGAGATATATTTCTTGCAAGAAAACACGGTCAATTGCCAATTAGTGAACCAGATCTTAAGCAGAGCTAGAATCAGTAAAAAATTGAAGTGTTTACTTCAGTTACTTGTGTGTTGTATGGTGAAGTAAAGGAAACTAGAAGTTTCAAAAAAAAATACGTATTAGCTAAGGGTTTAGCAAAGAAATCTTGTGCCACATATTGATAATTACTAACACAGGTTAGAAACATTAGGCACATTATTTACACTAAGAGGTTTATTCAGCCTACACAAAAGAATGTTGTTATAATTTATGCAAGACGAATAAATGGCTTACTTTGCATGTAAACAGAAATTTGTTTTGTTCATTTAATTTTACTTGGGACCAAAGCTGATCTCAAAATAATCGATGAGGAGCAAACAACATGAAGCACTACAGGCCAAAAACTAGATGTTAAAAAACAACAACTCCAGAATGCTCTATTAAAATGAATTATTATACTACTCGCATATGCAAACAGAAACTTTAGTAACAAAATCATTTATCTGTTAGGTTGTATAGTATAAATACATTACGGTCTCTGGTCATTTCTAGAATTAAGTAATTTTTCAATTTTCAAATTGAATTTCCAAAGCATAAATCTCTGTTACAATAGCCCTTATGCATTTTTTTTCATATTGAACGTATAAATAAGAACATCAATATAGTTTACAAAAACAGCTTTGCTACATTCGTTTATCATTGACTATATTAACGCACTAGGTGGCAGGAGAGTATTTATTGCGTCTGCAGACCGTAAAAATTCCTG